GGGGCGGGACGAGGGTGGTGCGGAGACGGGGTGGAGGGAGAGGGAGTTGGGTGGGGAGGAACGTAGCCGAGGCGGGGAGGGAAGCGAGGGGCGGAGACGAAGCCGGTCGAGATTATCCCCGCGATGAGCGCCGCAGAGGTAATTAAAATTGAAAATTTCCTCGGGGAACAATAAAAGATGCTTCCCCAAAACTCACGGAGCGCGGGCTGGGCTCACCTTCAGCGCCCAAGGGCGAGCACATGAAGCCTCGGTGCAAATTCCGTTTTGAATAGGGCGGCATGACGTTGAACATGAAGAGCAGAAGAACGGTAAGAAGAAGAGGAACAAGAAGCGCAAGGTAAGAAGAAGAAGGAAGTTAATAACAAACCACAAAGGTTGAGGGAATGACAGATACTACTCTCGAATATGAATGTATCAAAGGAGAGGACAATAAAAATATTGGGTAATATGAATGTTGAAAAATGTTGGCTGAAAGTGGGATTGACAGATAATACTCTCTCAAATATTAATGTGTGAAACGAGAGGTCAATAACAAAATGTTGGCTGATAAGAATGTTGAAAAATGCTGGATGATAAATTATAACAGAAGAAACTGAAGTGTAATAACCGCATGAAGAAAACTTCGGAATACAATGAAAAATTAGAAATAGTTCATGCGATAAAATAAAATTAGGAGACTTAAAAATATACTGTATGAAAAGGCTAAAAATGAAGTTTCTTATATTGAATGGAAAGGAACGAGATTAAGAAGAGAATAGGTGAGCAACTCAGAAGAAGCAGTGCAAAATATCACAAAATAATACGTTAAGATCACTCGCATTAGAAAATAGTGGTGATAGGTAAACGAAATGAAAGGGACCGATCAGACCTACAACTATGTACTAGAATGCTTGAGATCCGGTAACATGACGAGAAAAGACGATGATTGAATGCAGTGGAACGCAAATCCAGAAGGGCAGAATATGTCGTGACAACCTCAGTGGAGAACAGAGACAGAAGAGTATTGTAACTTTAATAAGAGACATTGTATTTGAACCATAACGAAACCCCCCAAAAAGGGACAAAATAAGCGAGTTAAACGGAGAAATAATAGGAAAGAGTATGTGAAGAAATATTAAAGTCAATGGGTAATGACGAAAGAACTCGAAAATAATTTAAGAAAAGATCAACGGCACCTAGAGAAAACCTAACTATAAACGTAAGAAAAAATCGAATAACATCGGAGTGGAAAGGACGAACAAATGGATCAAGCGCGACGAGTCACTTCAACTGAGGTGAAGGAGCAACAGGAGGTAAGTGCTGGCCGAGGATCGGCGAGACGCGATTGGAGCTGAAGGCGCCCGGAGGTGGAGCGGAGGCAGGCGTCCACGCGTTCGAGAGGCGAGGCGAGGGAGGGGGGCATCACACGAGGGCTAAAATGGAAAAGTGTCGCGAGGGCGTGGGGTGAGGTGTGTTTGCGAGGAGAGAGTGAGTTCGGAGCAAGTGGCGCCCCCGAGGGTCGTAAGCGTCTCCATCGATCGCTGACACTTCGACGCGCCACTCACGTCGCCATCATCGTCGCCCCGCCACCATCGTCGTCCCCACCACCACAGGCTCCTGCCATCATCGTCGCGCACACAATTTTTTCACTAAACTTGCCCCTGCCACCATAGTCGTTTCTGACTCCAGCGTCGTCCTCGCCTCCAGCATCACCTCCGCCTCAGCATTTGTCGTCGTCCTCGCTTCCACCCATGCACCCACCTCCACCGTCACCTTCACCTATCCTCGTTATTTCCCGTCTACTCTAGTCGCACCATACTATCATCACCCGCGCCTACCTCATCGCCAGCTACTACTATCCTACTACTATCCTGCCTTGTTATCGATGCCTCAGCGACCATCGCCGCCCCTGCCATAATCGTCTCCCACACAATCTCGTCACTAAACTTGCCCCTGCCACCATCGTCGTTTCTTACTCCAGCGTCGTCCTCGCCTCCAGGATTACCTCCGCCTCAGCGTTTATCGTCGCCGTCGCCTCCAGCGATGCACCCACTTTCATTTTCGTCCTCACCAATCCTCGTTGTTCCCGCCTACTCTAGTCGCCCCATACTACCGACATCACCCCAGCCTGCCCTCATCGCCTGCTACTACGATCCTGGCCTCCGGCTGCTGTCGTCGCCTCACCGACCATTGTCGTTCTCGAGTATTGTCTTCGCTGCCGCCCACCATCATCGCCCTCGCCCATCACCGTCGACGCACGTCTATCATTCCCGGTTTCACGGCACCTGACATCGCCAATCACCATCGCACCTACTACGACCGCAACCGCCTGACGTACGGGGCAGAGAAGTGACGCACGCAAGACTCATCACAGGCTCCCTTCCGTTCGCCCTCCCCACTTCTTCTGCCCCTACAAGCTCGTAAAATGGACATAAATAGGCTTTTATGATAGATCATGCATTTCCTTCCGAGCGCAATACTCTTGTATGAGACGTTTCCCCCTTTGTTTACGCAATATTCACAGGTAATATAATGTTCTCCTGATGATCCCCTATCTTACAGTACTGAGTTACATAGAATCCACAATTGACATGGTACCCTCAAGTACTAATATCAAATTTTTCAAAATACATTAATGTGACCTAAGATTTTGAAAGATCTTGAAATGTGTGAAAGCAAATTTTTAACACTGTAATAGAGATAATCGTTAAATGCTCAAACATAAAACCTCCTTCCGTATCGTTGCACCATCATCTGATTCCAAGGTTATGATAAACAAATATCGCGAGCGACTAATTTTTAATAAGAATATCAAGATGAAATAGATAATTAAATAAAAATTTCTCTGAATACTTATACTACATTTTTTACTGAAAGTTAAATGTTAAAATGTAATTTTCAAAATTTTATTAAATCAACTTGCCCCAAATCCAATCCCATATAAGAAAAATTATTATAATTTTTTATTTTCATAATTATTACATATTTAACATGGAGAAAAAAATAGAATTTTATATTCTAAGCGATTAGAATGAATTTTACTATAATTTCCGTTTGATAAATCTATGGAGTGCCCATACTAGACATTTGCAATTTACGAACACTATTTATTGTGAGACACGGATTCTCTCAGTTTATCAGATTGGTTACAGAGAAAGCCAACAAGTAATATTAATGCGAATGACGTGAACACCATGTTCATACTCATTTGCGCAGGGGGCGTTACAAACGCCGACACGTAATGCCATTAAACGATGATTACACCCAACAGCACTTAGCGGGCAGTTGTACTCACCGAGGTAGACCGAAGACATTTTCTTGGTGACGTTCTCGTCGATGAAGGTGACGCCGAGCGTGTAGAGCGGCGACGCGCCCACGCCGTGCAGCAGCTGGCCCAGCAGGAACACCCACATGTAGCGCGAGAGGTGCTCGGCCTCGCCGCCCGCGCCCGCCGCGGGGCACCCGGGCACCGCGCCCGTCTCCTGCGCACACAGCACCGCGCCGCACATTAAGCCTGTTTTACACGATCATTTTTTCATCATTTTTCGCCGGTACAGAAAAGATACAGGCCAGACCGGATGTAATTTGTACGAAAAAATGACGCGTGCTTAATTTTTCGGTTCAGATTTCATCCAGTTTGACTACCGCGCTCCTGGCGGCACTTTACGGGAGTTTCTCTAGTTTGTTATGCGTGTGGAACGATATGATAATTTTGTAGTTGCCTGAGAGCGTTCTGATGTGTTGAATTGTAATGTGAAGTGGTTATGTAAAGAGAAATAAATTCTGCACTGTATTCTAATATTGTCGCATCCGAGTTCAGTCCTAACCTAACCTAACTTAATTTGTTACCACAGATGCGATGTTCAAATGTTTGAACTTCAGTGCTATATGCGGCGTCCGGATGAAGCATTTTCTTCATGATTACGTACAAAGACAGAAACGACCGTGTAAAACTCTCATCCAGTTTCGGCACCGAAACATACTGCGTAGAAACGAATGTCCTTTTTCCATTCATTTACTGTACAGAAAAATGATGAAAAAAGGATGCAAAAATGACCGTGTAAAACAGGCTTTACACGTTGCGCGCGGGAGCCACACCGCTCGCGTCACACCTATGCTTAGATTTAGATTTATTTAGCCAAAAACAGTGAAAACTGTATGTGGCGTATGGGCACGTTTCCTTCAGTTCCAGAATCCCTTCCCGTCATTTCACTATAAAGAGTTGAAAGAGGAGTAAAAGTTTAAAATGAATAAATAAAATTAATGTTAAAAAGCGCGAGATTAGCAATATTTGAAAAAAATAGACATTTTCGTTTCCGAGTTACAGGAAACTTATTTGCAAGTATGATTTTTCTGCATTGCTAACAAAATAGCAACTCACACTTACCTCTACTCTTATCATTACAAGCAAAAGGAAAGTTCAACAAAACGCGCGCATATAACGCTACATTTACATCCACAAGCAAAGCAAGAGACAATCTCAGCTTTTGCTCAATGGATCAGAGAAACTGGACAAAAACCTGACCGAAACGGGGATACTTCGATTTAAACGTAGTAGCACTGCAAGGTAACGTGCTGGATGTTGTCATACAATCGAGAGCCCCCATACCGAAATTTAAAGTCGTAACGAAACTCTCGATTGCAAGACAGTGTCCCATCTCCGACCACTTCGTGGTTTTGAAGGGCCACACACTTTAATCGGAGTGGGCGAGGATTTAGTGGTTCCAGGCGCGCCAACTAGTTCGGGCATTAGTCTTGCGGGGGTAGTGCATGCTGTAGTCAGGAGGTGGCGGTGTCTCTCCCACACTGGAACGCGAAATCTGGCACCGAACTACACGTTCTTGGGGAGTCGCAGCGGCGATAACATGTATCGATTCCATTCGTTTGAGAAGCTTTAAAAAAATAAGAAGAAAGAAGAAGAAAGTGTTGAAATAATTTATTTTATTAAACAAATGTGAACAGTTTGTTTTATGATTACTGGTAGAATTTATTTACATCGACTTTTAATAAATACAACTTTAATTGTAACTATTCACTATTAGTCGGTTTCGAAAATACCTTCGAGTTGGTAACTAGGGGAGTGATTTTAACTCGTCAACTTCTAAATAATTAATATTTACATTTAACTTTTAATACCAGAAAATGAAATATTTTGTTTTTATTTGCCTACAAAAATTTTGAAGATCTTTTAACCAATAAATTCCTACTGCCGAGCATGATAACTTTTTTACAACATTTGAAACTCTGAAATAAATATAGTCCTTGATAACAAATTTAATTTCGACTTGTACAGTTGATATGCAATATCACCGCGGCCGGGTGATGTAATGTCTCAACTATTACTCTAAAAACCCGTCTAACAATTCCAGAAAATACTACAAGTTAATATGTCTTTGCTCATTCCATAGAGACTGGCTTTCGCCTTTCGCAGTTACTTATGACATACTTAACTCTCTGTAGCCTAATGTCTCATTCATTTTATTAGCAATGAAGCACACAACCACAATCTTCACCCGAAGTTTACTCATTTTGAATCTTTTTCATAAATTCTTCACCTTTGTTTTAAATTAACACTAACCGTTTTCAATAGAAGGGCACGGCCGTGAAACATAGTCTCCAAAATTGTAGTTTTGTGAAACTATAATTTTTGCCTTACTTCATCTGTTACTCATGCTATGGATCACTCAAAAAGTTTAATGTGCGGTTGAATGGCCGCCCTCGACATGTAATAATTTTCTACGTAACTCACTTAAACTCATTAACCCTTAAACTCATGTCAACACTGTTTCCGTGTGGCTCAGTACGTTTCACACCCGAACTCTTCAAATACATCAGTCTGCCCTCGTCGGCCCGGTCTAGGCCTCTTGTGATCGGCCGAGCCGGCATCCACCTCCGCCCAGGGCGCCGCCCCTCGCGGGCTCTGTCGGATGACGAATGCCTCTCGAACAATGCGCCACGGCTTAGGCCACCGCCGCCGCCGCCACCGCCTCCTCCTGGGGCATTATAATTTGTATACACGGCTCACCCGCCCCGCACCGGCCCGACACCCCACGCCTTCCTCTTCACCCGCTCTCATTTCCGCCGTCGCAGCTTCTCCCTCGATCCGTTCCAATCCCTCTGCTGCTACGCTCACCCGCCGCGTCTGCTTGCCAGAGCTTTGGCCCCCGCTTCGCCCCGGGGTGTGGCTCTCAACGCACTTGAAACCCGCCAAAGGCGATTAATTTCCCCAGCGTTTTCAGAAGAACAGAGTCTTATTGAGCATTTCCACGGGTCTCTTCTGTGTTCTTCCCCATAATTCTCTCAATAGGGTGATCAGTTGCTGTCGCACATCGAAAACTAGCCACCAATCGCAACCGAAAATAATGGATATTTCGGGTAATATTGGAGAGCATTTTAAGAAGTTCTACCACTTCAAATTAAGACAATTTCATTGACGTATTTGATATTAATTTATTCATAGTGACTTTTTTCAACATGAATAACATAGCTCCATCAGCAGAATTCAAACTATTTTGTTTGGATTTTTTCATTTTATGATTTTTTTCACACATAGACACATACCATCATTATTTCAGAATTAGGTAATTATGGAATATAAACTCCCCACATCTCTTTTCAAAACTAGTTAATAGGATATGAAATAGCTTAAGTAAAATAAGGTATTATTATTTCGTCAATCCCATTCTAACGTACTTTACTAGTAGTTTGCTTCCTTCTAATTCCACTTTACATTTCTTCTCCTGAATCATACAGTACTTTTTCTTGAAGCGTTTATACAGAAATATCTATATTGTATTGGTCTCCAACTCTGAGACGTATTACACAGTTCTAACACATCTTTCATCACCCCAGAATCCCATTTACGCATGACGCAACCATGCTTAACTTCAGAATCTCCTCATGTCAGTAACGTATTTTGTATTTCCTACCACCATAATTCTAATTGTAAATAAGCTAAAAGGTGTAAATTTATTTCAGTAAAGCTCTCTTTCCGTCGCTGTACTATATAAGTCATACAGCAAACGTTCTCCCCCAAGAATGTCAGACTCGG